GATGAAAGGGGTAAAGGGGATCTAATATAAGGAGATGGAAAGAAACTAGAACCTGGGTGGTAAGCACACAATGCAATATACAGATGATGTACTATGAAAGTGTACACCTGAAATTTATATTATTAATTAGTTACTTCCAATAAATTTAATTTTTAAAATATGTGACTAAATAGTGTGATTAGGCAGCATAAAATAAGCATGTACAAGGAAGGAGAAAGGAAAAAACTAACTTAGAGAGTAGTGGACAGTGTTCCAGAGTATTGAACGTATCCATGAGCTGGGTTTATGGCGTCTGTCAAATGTCAAAAGAATTTGTAATTAATCTGAATGACAGCGTGCATCAATTCAGATCCTTTAACAAAAGTTACATTAATTTATCCTTCATTCTGAGATCTTTTAAAGGAAGCTAATATAGTTTGGCTAGTACTGGCAAGCTAAAGAGAAGCTCTGCTTAGAAGCTGCTTCGATCTAGCTGAGATGACTAGAAAGGGACACGAGTGAGAATTAACCCATAGCATGTGACTGGGTGAAAATTAGACATGGAGATAAAATATAAACCTCCACTTAAGTCAGGGCTTGTTATCTATAAACCACTTATATGAATTAGCTTAAAAACTAGGAGGACTGACGCCTTTTCAAGAGTGAGCACAGTTGCAGCCTCGAGTCTCACCACGTGGCCCTGCCGCCTCAGCTCCACGGGGAGCCCAGGCCAAATGTTAGAGCAAGAACTACTGACGTCATGTAAACATGATGTCATTAGCACTGACGCAGTCTCACAGGGCGGGGCCTCTCAGCTCACCTCAGAATACGGTCAGCTCCACGGAGCAGCGAGTTGGCCGCCTCGCGTTCTGCCCTTTGGCTCCGCATAGTCAGAGATACGGTAACCGAAGCGCCGAAGCTGCTCAAGAGCCGAGAAGCTGCCATCTATCTCCCTCTTCCCTTGGCTTTTACTCGGGTCCTCTGAAAGGCCTAGGCCGGCCCTGGCGGCAGCGCGCTCACGAGCCCGCCGCTTGTGGCGGTCACGCGCACGCACGCTTGTGCGCACGTTCCCTGAGAACCCGGAAGTGCGAGGGAGAGGAGAGCCACGTGGGTGGAGCTGGAGCGCAGCTCGCATGGGGGAGTCTATCCCGCTGGCCGCCCCGGTCCCGGTGGAACAGGCGGTGCTGGAGACGTTCTTCTCTCATCTGGGTATCTTCTCTTACGACAAGGCCAAGGACAATGTGGAGAAGGAACGAGAGGCCAACAAGAGCGCGGGGGGCAGCTGGCTGTCGCTGCTGGCGGCTTTGGCCCACCTGGCCGCGGCCGAGAAGGTCTATCACAGCCTCACCTACCTGGGGCAGAAACTAGGTACCTCCGCCCCGCCCCCCGTGCCCCTTGAGGAGGAAGGAAAGGGGGTATATTCCCCGGTCGGCAGTGGCTTGGGTTCCCTGTTTCTTTCGCTCCTAATGCAGGCTCAATTGGACTCCCAGGTCGCCTCCCACCGTTCCCTCCCTTCCCTCGGCTTCCACAAACCCCGCCCACTGGCCTCAGCAGCAGATAGATTGGCAGATGGGGTAGATGCTCTTTGCAGGGCTGTACCCCAAACGGATGGATGTATGCATTTTGCCCAGTGCATGGATTGGTACCATAAATGACAAGTTAAGCAAACTCTATGTCTTCGCTCTTCCAACCAGTGACACTGCGGCCAGAGGAGCAAAACTTGGCAATACAACCTAGTTCGAGTTAATGAACACTACTGTCTGGCTTCTTAAGGTTAAAGCCCTGGAGAGTTACAGATGGAGTCCTACTCCTTTTTGTAGGCGCTCAATAAATATTTAGTGAGTGAAATAAATTAATACTGGACAGGAAAGGCAAGAAATATGCCTAACACTAGCAAGAGGGCTTACAGGGAAAATGTAAACACTCTTATCCCATGATAAATCTTGCCTCTGAAAATATGAGGTAAGGGCAGAGTCAACTGATTTTCACTAGTAGAAAGCCACGGGCTATGCATATAAGGTAGAACTACTTATAATTACCAATAGTTAGTATTACATATCCCAGAGCTTTTAGAGTTGTTTTAGTACTTTGGCCTATTTTAGACACTTTAATTATCAGAGGCACCCAGTCTGGTATGAATGAAGGACACATATAGAATAGAAATGTAAAATTGAGTGCAGATTCCATTTTGATTCCTCCACCCCCAGTTTCTTCATATTGCCTGAAGGTGACCATGTATGTACATCTTGCTTTCAGTAAACACTCAAGGGGAAAGGCTTTTTGAGATCTTAAGTTTTGCCTTAGTCAAATAACTTGTTGTTTAGCATGTTAACTTACTGGCGAAAGCTGGTCAGTTTCACCTTGTGTATTTTTCCTCCCCTTTTTACAGTGGTACTTCTCACAAATTTGCAATTGCTGTTGCAGTGATATCATTCCGTTTTCTACAGCTTGGCAAATTGTGTATTGTTGAGTGACAGATCCCAAACCAGAATACTTGCCTTTGAATTGTCAGATTGTGTTTGTATCCATATGATTTATAAAAAATTTGTACATGTATTATAATTTACATATATATGTAAATGGGGAGGATTCCAACTATAAAATTGAAGGTGAGGAATTTTCTGGCAGTTTTAATTTTTAGATTCCCCCACCTCGTGAAGAGTGGTAATTGACCCCAGTGTATCATTCTTAATTTTTTTTAGCTTATCTATGAGAATTTGATTAAACCTGTAGACTTACTATCCAGAAAAATATATATGTAGTACAGTACAATTTTGCATATAATCAGAGTACTCAGTTGGATTTCCTAAAGCCTATTTGTGGACCCCAGTGAAAAAAATCTACTTTAGTTTAAATTGTATGTGCCTTGTTTTAGGTAAACAGATTTGGCTGCCCTGTATAAAAGAACTTATGTAAGACTATCATTGCCTCTAACTTGGGTTCTGTGAAGTGGGCCTCATATAAAGTGATTGGTTCTCCATGGACCCCGCCTTGCATTAGTGAGCCTGAGGACTTCACCTTGAAATTGACCCACAGAGCATTTTACACTGTGAAACATGCTCAGGTACTCACTGTTCAGGCTCCCAGGTGTCCTGTCACTTCTGAGTAAATGTTCTGAAAATGGCATGTTACACTTTAAAGCCTCTTAACTTATTCACATATATAGTAAATGTAGACTCCAGATTTAAAATTTTAACTTTGAAATTTCGTTTTTTTTTTTTTTTTTTTGTATTGGAAAATTTGTAAGATCAAGGTGCTTAATGACTTCATGATCACTGGGTTGACTTTATTTTCTTAAAAACTTGGGAAAAATTTTTTGTGTCGCCATTGAAAACATTCCTATGTTCTTCATCTATTTTACTAATTAGAACATTTATATGGTTTTCTTTAAAAAGCAATATAAAAAGTTTATATTTATTTTTAAACATTTAAAACGTGGTTCAAAAAAGTGTCTTTTTGACCTCACTTTTGACTGATGTTTATTGGAGACCTTAAAAGTGAATCCTGACTATAGCTGTCTTTTAGACAAAGGACAGACCTGACAGCCATCTGTTCCTGTCTTGGCTCGCTTGTGAAAAACTTTGGGTGGGGCCCTTTTCTTGGAGCCTTTTCTTTCCTTGGAGGGGAGAATATACCTGTTTGGGGAAGAATCAGTGACTCAATGCCTGTGAAGGATTTCAGAAACTCATACTTTTCTCCCTTTGATTCATTACTGGAGGTTTTCCTCAACATCTGGTTCCTGGAATTTAGCATAGTAGAAAATGACTTAACTTGAGAACCAATGTTTAAACATTATTTGCAAGAAGTTGTAGAATAAAATTCCTAATTAGATGTTTTGCATGATCCTTTAATATACTTATTTCTTGAAATTTCATGTTGTAAGATAGACTGTTGAAATCTTGAGAAATGAACATATATAAATAGAGCCTTCTGGTAATAATTCAAAATAATCGTATTTTGTAAATTCCAGAATTTTAAAAGAGAAAGAAGTCTTACGTCTCTGATTTGTTGTTTCCCAGCATGAAGAAAGGCCAGTCCCCAATGGATATTCCAAACTAGGGTAGTCAACAAATAGGATTATACTCCTGAGAGCTTTGAAAAAGAGACCCGTATAAAGAAATGCATTGATTGTCTCTTCCTTCCTTATAGTGTCACTTTACTTGGTTTCACATACTCGTGATTGATGTTTATTGATAAACTTTTAAAGGTATTCTTTGTATTTATGTGGTATTTCCACTCCCCCAGATGAGGGTAATCTGATGAAGGAAGGTATCCATTTTTCACCCAGAGTTAAAAATTTTCACCAAAGCCATCCTGTTCAAACAGTGGAAGTGAGTACACAGTTTAGGTCACCTAGCTCTGTCAAATAGATTGCTATTTTTACAGGAATTGAAGCTCCCAATTTACCATAGAGTTTCAGAAGCTCAGTTATGT